ACGCTTTGTCAAAATGACACAAAAATTGACACACACATGTATCTCAATAAGATCTACAAAAAAGTCAGTGCGGGCGTATCTGTCAAATGTACGGTTAAAGGGTTATTTCGCATTTTTTGCCGATCCGCACACATTGGAATTTCGCTAACTCCTCCGAAGGCTTTCGTTCCACCAGCACCACATTTGCTCAGGCCAATCTACACCCCATGGCCATTCAAAGTTGTACAAATCATGACGCTGCACCCCACGGTTTAGGTTCTAGGGGGCGCCAAAGATAACCCAAAAATCCACATTCTTAAAAGTCTTATAACTTTTTATTTTTGTCCTCACTGGCCTCCAAGTTCTCTAGGATGATGCAATGTCCAGCCATCAACACATTTGTGAAGGAATTTTTACTCCCCAAAAGAGCGCCCCCCCATGGCAGGAGAAAAAAGTTAATTTTTTCTTGTCCCCTAGGGTGAAAATACACATTGTTCAGTGTCACATCTGTACGCTTTGTCATATTGACACAAAATTTGACAATCACGTGTATCTCAATAAGATCTACGAAAAAGTCAATGCGCACGTATCTGTAAAATTTACGGTCAAAGGGCTATTTTGCATTTTTTGCCGATTCGCACACATTGGAATGTGGCTAACTCCTCCTAAAGCTTTCGTCCCATCGGCACCAAATTTGCTCAGGCCAATCTACACCCCATGGCCATTCAAAGTTGTACAAATCATGACGCTGCACTCCACGGTTTACGTTCAAGGGGGCGCCAAAGATGACCCAAATATCCACATTTTCAAAAGTCTTATAACTTTTTATTTTTGTCCTCACTGGCCTCCAAGTTTTCTAGGATAATGCAATGTTCAGCCATCAACACATTTGTGAAAGAATTTTTTCTCCCCAAACGAGCGCCCCCCCATGGCAGGAGAAAAAGTTAAGTTTTTCCTGCCCATCGCCCAATGGCTCAAACGCATCGCTCTCTCGGCAAAACCGAAAGGAGGAGCAACTTGCCATTTGGATATATCAAGCTGTGTTTGTGCCCTCACTCATGGTCCAGACTTTTTTCAAAAAGGACATGGAGTTTGTCTGCAGCGAGCGTTTTGGTAGAAACTGCGCCTCCCATTCATTATAATGGTAAATGACCACAGACAAGTGCGCACACCATCTTTGGACCTTGAGTGTGACGCGATCGGGAGGGGGAGGGGGTCGCTCTGGGGGCGGCGCGACACGGCTCGGGCCCGCCAGTGCCCCAGCGGGGCCCTAGTTGTTATTATAATTTAAGTATGACTGTGAAGTCAATACATTTTAAGCATAACTAAATGTGTAGTGTTCCTCCCTCATTGGCTTAGACCTTGCACCTGACATTGCACCTGAAATTAATTAAACCTAAACGAGTGAATTTCCCCTGCTGTCTTGGTCATTGCTTCATGGATCTGAGAAGACTTGAGACAAGTGTTTAAATGTTCAAATTCTCACAATGTCAGTGGATGAGACTGGACCAAGCCGCAAAAGAAGAAGTCTGGGTAAGGATGACCATTCTAAGTCTAAAAGAAGGCAAATATGCATTTTACACAATGTAAAAATACAAGATCCAGGACTATTCACCCCTTTCAGTGGACCAAACATTTAGCCCAATGAAAAACTCAAGCAACTGACTAAAATATGTAACGAAAGATGCCAGGAGTCATTTGACTCTCCATACAGACTGAAGGACATTTGTGATCAGATTCCTGAATCACTAGAAGGAATAGACCTACAGAGCACAGGCTGGCATAGAAAATGTTACCAGCACTTTTCCAAAAACAGAGGTAGATTGCTGGCATCATCTACATCTACAGAGACGGGCCCAAGCCGTGTCGCGCCCCCCCCCCAACGCGCTGCCTCCCCGTCCCATTCGCGTCCTCTGGCCATCGCCCTCTCTGGTAACGCCCATCACTGCAAAGACCCTTTTCCTTCATCAGTGTTTGCTGTTCTTCCTGCCAGTGCGTGTTGCTTTCACTTACACTTGCCACAACCAGCCTCGTGAGTGCCTATTGGATATCACTGTCACCTACACAGGACAGTCATTACCTTTCTATTAATACTTTGTTTTTTAATTTCACATTAATTTCCATATTGTATAAACGACTGGAAAAAACTTGAAAAACTTATCTCAAAAGTGAGGACCTCAACCTATATACCAGTTTTTAAATTGTGTTGATAGGCCAAATAAAACCAGAGTTATGATAAATTATGTCCGCGATACTTTTTTTCTGCTTATTTTGATCACGTTCGGCGCTCGATCGCGCTGTATGAGACAGGAAAACATAGCATGCAGACATTAGCGACAGGTCTTACAGGCGGAAAAGGCTTGCCAAAAGAAAAAAAAACACACCACAACATCTCTCCTATTGGTGGAAAACTTCACCACAACAACCAATCCAAAATTATATGGTGACTGATTGACAAGGGGTGGGCGCTTACGTTCTTCCTGCAACATGAGAAGCGAGGGAGGGACTCTCAGCAGGGATGCAGTCTGGGACACGTAGTTGCAAACCTAGCGACTTTGTTGTTAGATTCAATGACTTTTCAGACCCCCTAACGACTTTTTTTTAGAAAGAAAGGGACTTTTATCGACTTCTTCTGGAGTTTAGAGACTCTGACATGAAGCAGGCTTTCCTTACTGAGGAGTTAGCAACGCTGCTAAGGGTGCAGAGCCACACATGCGCTCAGAGCTCTGCATGGGAGACTGAAGCTGACAGAGCTGCAGCAGTTAGCAGGTTTCACCCTCAGAGACCACCAGGGGTTCATGTTGAGGCATTTTAAATTTTTTTTTTTTTTGTGCCATAGACACTGTCAGCACAATCTGCAGTTACACTAACAAAAATGCTGCAAAAAAAAAAGAATTATGGAAAAATTACACATGGACTGACATAGAGGAGGATCTACACAAGTTTTTTACATCATGTTTTACATCATGCATCATTTACATCATGTTTTTTTGTAGTGGCATAAATAAAAAGTGACATTTGTGAGACTATACAGTGTTTTGTAAATAATTTTACAAAGAACGCCTGGGCCATTGCCTGCGTTTTGATGTAAATAGAGGTAAATCACTATGTTCTTTGTTAAAAATTTGCATATGTTTTGAAGTTTACAATTTTTATTTGAAGTTTAAGTTTTAAAAACAGTTCATCACACATATTTGTGGTTTTCACAGTAAAAATGTTACTTTTTTCCACTCGGATTTTATGTTTTGTGTGTGAATTTGGGTCCATTGTGTAAATTCAGTATGTCAACATGATAAAATAACTGTAAATTCGCACAGGTGAGGTTGTGCTGAAAAAAATGATACCAGGCAAGGCACGTGATTGTCAAATTTTGTGTCAATATGACAAAGCGTATAGGCGTGAATCTCAACAACATGTATTTTCACCTTAGGGGACAAGAAAAAATAGACTTTTTTCTCCTGCCATGGGGGGGCGCTCTTTTGGGGAGTAAAAATTCCTTCACAAATGTGTTGATGGCTGGACATTGCATCATCCTAGAAAACTTGGAGGCCAGTGAGGACAAAAAAAAAAGTTATAAGACTTTTAAATATGTGGATTTTAGGGTTATCTTTGGCGCCCCCTAGAACCTAAACCGTGGGGTGCAGCGTCATGATTTGAATAACTTTTAATGGCCATGGGGTGTAGATTGGCCTGAGCAAATGTGGTGCTGGTGGAACGAAAGCCTTCTGAGGAGTTAGCGAAATTCCAATGTGTGCGGATCGGCAAAAAATGAGAAATAGCCCTTTAACCATACATTTGACAGATACGCCCGCACTGACTTTTTTGTAGATCTTATTGAGATACACGTGATTGTCAATTTTTGTGTCAATATGACAAAGCGTAAAGGCGTGACACTCAATAGATTGAATTTTCACCTTAGGGGGCGCTATGGAGCCATTTCGCATTTTATTGTTTGGGCGACTTCAGATTATCAAATTTTTCACCAGGCCCGGTCTTCCTGCCAAATTTCATGAGTTTTCGACGGTGGGAAGTGGGCCTTTTTCCAGTTCAAAGGGGAGGAAAAAGAAGAAGAAAGAAAGAAGAAAGAAGACCGATACAGGAATAAGAGGGCTCTACGCCTGGCTGCTCTGCAGCTGGCTCGGGCCCTAAAAAACCACTACAGGAATAAGAGGGCTCTACGCCCGGCTGCTCTGCAGCTGGCTCGGGCCCTAAAAAGTATTCACCCCGGACACGCAAACCATTGTCAAGTAATCTTAAGTTTGGTCCAGAGTGCATTTTTTGTGACAAAATTGAAATCAAAACTGGTCGTCAATTTAAAACTGAGAGACCTGTGGCATTCCAAATGTCTAAAGGTAAAACACCATGCGGAAAAATCATTGAAAGCCATGCAGAGCATTTAGGAAATGTTAAACTTTATCGGAAAATAAAGGATCAGTGTCTGTTCTCATTAGAGGCAAAGTATCATGCATCATGCCTTAACAAGTTTAACACTGCATACACAAATCATGTCAAAACCAAGGAAAAAAGCTGTGCAAGTGGTCAAGCACATATTTCCGCTGCCTACAACCAGGCATTCACTGCAGTCTGCAGTTACATACAGAAAAACATAGTGGATGAGCAGCAAGTGGTCCCGCTAAGTGTACTGTGTGACTGTTATATTAAAGAGCTGAGGAAGCATGATGTTCAAAGTAATTACGGAGGAGAAGAATTAAGGAAACAAACTGCAGTTGACTTTGCACAGGTCCATCTGAAAGGATGTGTATCATTTTACCTGGTGTACAGCAAAGCTATTACTGTGTCTGATGCAATTGTTGCAGCATACAACCTAGGTACTAAAGATCAAATCAGAGACACCGCTCAGACTCTGCATTCTCTGATTTGGAAAGCTTTCACTGAATCAAAAGAGATGCCATGGCCCCCAACACCTGATGAAGTTGAGGAGATCAAACCAAGTGAGCAACTATCGGGTGAATTGATACGGTTTCTCAACTTGTTGCTGTCTGGTGGGCAAAGCACAGATGATGAGAAAACTGCGCGGGTGGTTGTATCGACAGGATCTGTGCCGTGCAGCCACTAATGGAGAGTGGAAACTGCCCAAACATATCCTCCTTGCCATGGCTGTCAGGCATTTGTACCGCTCAAAGCAGCTAACAACAATTCTCCAGCATCTCGGCCATTGTGAGACTTACAACTACACACTTGACTTGGAAGCAGCATTGTCAGAGGCTTTTGATGAGGCATCAACATTCCTTACTCCTCAAATTGTGTGCGGTGAAGCAAACAAACTCTTCCATGTTGAATGGGACAATCTCAACAAGTCCTTGACCAATGTTCATGGCTCCCACATAGTTAATTCTGCAGCAGGCATCATGATGCAGGAAGTTGTGCCTGAACTCGCAGATCATGCTAAGAAGAGAAAACTACCTGACTTTGACAAGAAGAAAAAGATAGAGAAGCGTTCAACACAAGTGACACTGCCAGAATTGCACATACATACACGAGTGGGTCCAAGCTTTCCAAAGGGTAGTTCCTTCACTCACCCTATAGACCACACAGCTCTCTATGATGAAGCCATGACAGAGTACCATGCATGGGTGCTTGCACGAATGCTTAGCAGCTGGCATGGCAAACAGAAAGTGTCAGGACAAGGTGGCTTCATTTCAGCTACTGGTGTGAGACCTGAAAGAAAGTCACGTATTGACTATTTCACTCCTATTGGCCAGCCTATCACCGCCAAAGAGACTGTAGCAGAGTTGCTGGACCGCACAGAGGTGGCTACAGATGAGGTGGGACAGGAACATGTCGTGAGCACTTTTGATCTGGGTGTTGTCATGAAGGCATGCCCTATAATTTGGAAGTTTATGGAAAAATGTTAGCTGCATATCATCGTAATTGGACCCTTTCACACAGGATTCAATTATGTTGGGAGAATCACTGGGTGCAAAATGCAAGGAGCAGGGTATGCCGACATCCTTATTGAAGCAAAACTTGTCACAAGTGCATCACTCATAGGTGTACTTAGTGGGAAGAATTGGGCTCTGGCTATTTGGTGTCTTCGGACGGTAACAGAAGCAGCTGAGCGCTTGCTAATTGAAGTTTTCATTGAGGAGGAGGGTGTTGAGATCAGTACGTTGGCACTCTTCAGCCTGATCGAGGAGACAAACTGTGAACATCTAGATGCGGTCCTCAATGATGAACCAACCAAGGCCATCATCCAAGCCTACCTCAACTTCCAGGAGAAAGTCAGGAAGGGTCACCTTGGCAAAACAGCAATCCTGTGGATGTCATTCATAGACAACAGCCATGTGCTGTTCATGCTGTTGTTTGCTGTGAAGACCAACAACGTGGCACTGTTCCATAAGTGCAACAGTCAGATGGCGCACCTCTTCTTTGCGTATGATGGCCAGAACTATGCCAGGTACAGTACATCTCTTGCACATAGAATACAGTTGGTTAAATAACTATTTTCTTTGAAAGATGATACATCTATTGCCTCTGTCTAATTTCAGGTATCTGGCTTGGTTTGACGTGTTCTTGACGAACCTGGAGCTCTCTCATCCTGGTGGGTGGGATCTGCTGAGCAAGGGTGCAATTGGAGTAGTACGCTCACTGATTCCTGGGGCCCTGGCTGTGGTTGATAAGACCATGGAGGAGACATTTATGAAGTTCGCCAAGTCATCAGGTTAGTTGTTTAATTCAGATGATAAAATGATTATTGCTGCAACACATACTCCATATTAATGAATTCAATTCCATTCAGGTGGTTTACGGGGCATCTTTAAGATGTTTGACACGTACACACGCTTCTGCCGCACTACTTCAACACGAGGACAATACTTCGAGCAACTTCTTGAGATGTGTGGCATGAGCAATGACCCAGACAGTGCCAGTGGTGGAATGCACAGAGAGCTTGAGAAAGCTGAAATTACAAAGAGCGAATCTGCAGTGCAACAAGCGATGATGGCATTTACCAGCTGCTTTATGAACCCATGGCGTGTTCCGGACAAGACCAGACTGTACAATATTGCATCTGGTGCACCTGTCTCTAAAGATGTTGAGTTTGATGTCTTACGTGCAGATGCTCTGGGTAAAGAGCTGAAGGAGAAGTTCATCAAAGAACGGCTGCAGAGTGGAGATCGAACCAGCTTCTTTGACAAACTGCCAAGGCAGAAGCTCCGCAGGATGACAGACAGTAACCATAAGCTGAAACTCACATCCTCACAGGGCAAGGTACACACACAAGCTTTAGCACAGTATTAAATAGAATTTAACCCAAGTAAAGTCCATCAGATGTGTAAGTGTATGATTTGTGTCTATTTTGAGAAATATAATGTACTGACTTGTAATAAACATTTTTGCTTTGCAGATGATCCAATATCAAGAACAGAACCAACTTGCCTTCACCCTTCCCATCAGATCTCAACTAACAGAGACCCCAATTGACCTTGAAGAGGTGATGCGCTACCCTCTCGCTACTGTCCCTCACTCACTCGGCACCCCAGATGGCTTCTTTGCCAAGACGAATAAGGCATCCATGGTGCATTACCTGCTAAGCGATGTGAATATGCCAGACTATCCTACCGGAGCCATGTTCATTCAAGATGGAAATACTCTCTTCCATACCCTGACAAACCTGCCACACACATATGGACAGATCTGCAAGCAAGTGCTAAGAAACATGTCAGCAAAAGGCAACTTCATCTTCTCCACCGACAATTATGAGCCTGGTTCAATAAAAGCTAAAGAGAGACTGAGACGTGGCTTTGGAGAGAAATGCATCATTGAGGGGCCCTAGACAGTACGTGCACCAGATTTTAAGCTGTTTCTTGCTAATGAGGAGAACAAGAAGCAGTTGTGTGAGTTGCTCTACAGAGTCTGGAGTCCTGCTGAATCAGCAGAGCAGCTGGCACGTTGTGGAACAGCAATCCTATGTGTAGAAGGCAAGGCCCACTCCCTCTCAGCAGTAGGTGGTGAGGTAAATAAAAATGTAAATATATAAATAAATTACTCATACTTTACTATTTTATAGTAAAAGTCAAATGCTATTTTATGTCTCAGGTCACATCTGAGGAGATCCACAGCCTTCGGTCTAACCAGGAGGAAACGGACACAAGAATCGTCATCTACTGTAACCTCGCTGCTGAGTTGGGGTTCACTTCGACAGTTGTCCGCACACCGGACAGTGATGTTTTGTTCATCTTACTGTACCATGCGCATAACATCAAGTTAACGGTGTACATTGACATCGGTACTGGGAAGGGCAGACAACTGGTGAATGTGACTCAGCTGGCAAACGATCTTGGCTCTGAATACTGCAAGACCTTACTTGGGTACTATGTCTTCAGTGGTGAAGATTGCACCAGTGCCTTCAAAGGCAAGGGTAAAGTTGGACCCCTGAAGAAGCTGCAGAAGAGCCCCAAGTACCAGGCTGCGTTCAGGTGACATGGCTCTCTTTCATAATTTCACCTCCTTGACTCGAATGACACTTGAAAGTAAACAGTGTTTTCCTATTTCAGGGAACTTGGTGTGGAATGGTGCCTCTCAAGCAGCTGCAAGGAGGACCTGGAACATTTCATATGCCTCATGTATGGTCATGGTCGGGAGAAGAAAGTAGATGCAGTGCGTGTAAAGATGATTCACAAGATGGTCAGTGACGATGAGTCCCTCTCGGCCAAGTCTAAGGTGGACCTTGGACGTCTCCCACCACCACAGTGCAGTCTCTCCACCCATCTTGATCGCTGCAACCACAGAGTGGCATGTTATAAGCGAGCAGCTGCACCTATTTTTGAGCAACCAAAACCATATGACCCAGATCAGGTAAGAATGGTTCAATTTGGATTTTCATGTATAACAAGAACATCCATGGTATAAATAACACTTTGACATTCACCAGGGATGGGAAACAAATGAGGAGGGAGCACTTGAGCCTATATGGACTGCTGGACCCATCATGCCCTCATCCCTGGTTGACATACTTGCAGTGGAGGCTGAGAGCGAAGAAGAGGAAGAAGAGCAAGATGAGACCATTGAAGATGACATGAATAATGATAAAGAGGACTATCAAAATTAAGCCGACTCTAGATTTTGCTTTCAAACATGGTTACTGTTGCTGAAATCAGTTATCACTACACATATTGTGCATAAAACCATTAATATTAATTTCAAAGAGCAATATGTAACTTGTAGAAAATGTACACATGTACACTACTATGGGGACTATTAAAGATCACAAATAAATGGCTTACTTCAGCTGTCAAGACATACTAATTTACCTTATTCCATTACTGTTTAAGAACTCTCTGTGTGCATACATTGGCAAATACCTTTTTTTGCAATAGGTGGAAATTACACATTTGTACAGCATGCAAAGAAATGAATGGTTCTTGCCCGAAACTGCATGTGTTTGCCATAAATGTGGCATGTATGTAAAGGGGAGGCTTGTGGGAACACATTTAACCCATTTCCACTAACATATATTGAGGTGACAATTCAAGGGAGTATTTGGAATATGGTGATGGTCGTTTTTCCTTCGCAAAAAAGTTGTTTAACTTTGAATCATTAGGTATTTATCCCCCTTCCCAATGAGCTAACATGGCATGGGTTTCCCATTGGAAAGCTGTGGTTGTCCAGAATACAATGGTATCTTTACTTTTTGTCTACCTCAAAATTTGACCATGCCACACTCTCGGAAAGACAGTGTCATCAGTGATCCTGCCAGCAAAAACGTTTGTATCATAGGGGTAACAAAACATTAAAAAACACACCTTTGGGAAATAAATCTTTCTTGGGAACATCAAAATCCTTTTTTTAGAGGTCTTAAGGATGATAAAAATCCTGACTAGAAAATAAAATAAAGGGGGGGGGGGGGAGGGGGGGGTACGTGCAGGTCTCCTAAGTGCCCTACTAGTCAGGGAGTATATGGTTTTACTAAGCAGGTACAAATTGGCAGGAAAGAGTCCAGCTGTGTGAGTTCACTGAGGAAGTCCTGGTCACAAAACCAACAGGTTCAGAAAGACCTGCTCTGTGTATTAGCTGTTTTTATTTGTAATTGAGCACATACAGTAAAATACCATTCCAGTTTACTCTTATCACTCCTCCTGGTTTCCGAGTTGCTGTCATAGCTTAAAAAACAAGAGGAAGAAAATCATGCTGAGTTTAATTAGGAGGAAGCTCAGAGTAGATCTGCAGACAGTGGAGGTGGTGTGGGCATTCGGTAAGGTGATGATGCGTCCCCACTGTGCTGTTCTGGGTCTACTAAACTAGCAGGAAGTCATTGGTAGACACAGAACTTCCAGAAGAAATAGTATATCTTGTCTGGTCTGGGAATCCCACAGGCAGAGCTGGAAAACAGGGTCTGGGTTGATCTCTAAAAGTAATGTGATATGTTTTGCAGTATTTTACCTTTCACCAAGTACTAAGGCTCTCTGGTTGTATGTAAAAAAAAATAAAAATAAAAAAAATAAAAAAACAGCTGATTTTTTTTCTTCTTTCTCTGACAGTCAAAAATCAGAACTTTCTGGAGTCAGTCCTTCTGAAAACAGACTGAACCAACCCTGTGGTTTTAGTACGCCTTCTTTTTAAAACACATAAAGAGGTTTTTATTGGGGGGCTGAAGAATCCCATTAACCTTTGTGAGGCTTTGTACTCTCAGAACTGGTCTCAGCGCTGTAGACTGAGGCTCTGATAAGCACCTTTCACAGCTCTTTGAGTCTTTATCAGTCTGTCAGGCGGTTTTGAAGAGTTTGCATCCTGATGAGGTCTTAGTGTTTTGATTCACAATCCTGAGATTTATTTCCTCCCTGTTTGTGTGTCTCCATTTCTTTGTTAATCTCTTTACTGACATTTGGATATTGACATTTGGAAATGGCACCGTAAAAATGGACAGAAAGTTTGGAAAGTTTTGGTGTTTACAGACGAATTAAAGTGGAAAACTTCATTTTCTGGTCTGAAGCTGCTTGACTTCTGTGATGGTCAACTTGTTTATGACATAACAAAGTCCTAAACGGGTTAGATCTCAGGATATGGACTTTGTCTGGCTTACCAGTATCACACAAATCTCTACCACTCCACTGTGGTGCATCCACACTTGGATCCAAACAACCAAACGGACTTTCAGGGTTGAGTGCATAAAACAGTTTTTCACCTACTTACCCAAATGGCCTGTTCAAACATCAGAGAAGCAGCAGAACCGGATCCAGTGTGTCCAGACAACATGCTTTTTTCAGATATCCAGTATTATTAAACACACATTTACTGTCATTTACACCATCCACCTTTTTCTGACCTTTGATCTGGGACCGAGTCCTGATGGTAGCAGGTTAGCAAGTCGCTCCAAACATCCATTATTTTTCCAGCTCCTATACTGGCATACCGGTCAGGTGGGACTCATACTCTCCCCAGTGTGTTCCCGGTTTTACCTTCAGGGGCATGTCCAGAAAATGTCCAGCAGCTGAGGAGGCCTCCTTATGAGATACCTGGACCTAGAACAGAATAGAATAGAATTTATTGTCATTGTGACAGGCACAAGGAAATTAAAAAGTGTCTTTACAGTCAGTGCATTGAAAAAGAGGTACAATAAAACATTAGACAGTGAAACAATAAAACCAGTTCAGAGTTAAAACTAGTAAAATAATTAAAACTGCAACCATAAATACATAGGCAGTACGTCATCTGGCTTTCATGGAGGCATTGATGGAATGGACAGCGTTTGGGAAAAAAGCTGTTTTGCAGTCTTTTTGTCCTGTCTTTGATGGCCCTGTACCGTCTGCCTGACAGCAGTGGCTCGAACAGAGGGTGGCCCTGGTGGGATGATGTTGACGGCTCTCCTGAGGCAGTAAGACCCATGAAGGTCCACCAGTGTGGGCAGAGAGCACCCGATGACCCTCTAAGCCATCCTAGTGACCCTCTGGAGGTCTTTCCTATTCCTCACTGTGCAGCTGGCAAACCGCATACAGAGGCAATACGTGAGGATGCTCTCCATGGTGGTACGGTAAAAAGACAGGAGCAGTCTCTGGCAGATGTTGTTCTTCCTAAGGATTCTCAGGAGGTGGAGTCTCTGCTGAGCTTTTTTACCACCTGTGTGGTGTTCTTGTCCCAGGTCAGTTTCTCCTCTATGTGGACCCCAAAGAAGTGGACTTCAAGGACCACCTCAGCTGGATCCTACCCTGTGAAGATGCAGCAGCTATACTCTGAGCTGTTTCTGGTGCCTTAAAGATCCAATAAACTCTGAGCTGTTCCAGTGTCCAAACAGGGAGAGGTATTTGGGGCCATGCCTGATGGTCTAAAGACCCACGTAGAGACTGCTGTTACAAATATCCTTGGTTATGGCTCCTCCTCCTTCTCTCCGTAAAGCTGAAGTAAAAGCTACAGGACATCAGTCAACATGGTGGGTTTTTAATTATGTCTAATTTGACTGAGGACCAGGAGAAAGTATTTCAGGGAACTGGTTAGACATGGTTTGACTTCTCTGGACCTCTGAAACCCTTTAGGCCTCTACCGCTATCAGACTTGGTTGTCCATCGATCCCCGTATGTCCACCTAGAGTGATCTGCAAAAATAAAAAGTTGTTTCATCTTTTTCTTCAGATTTAGATTTGAGCTGACAAAGGGATTTCTGCTCACTGATGATTTTTTTTTTGTCTAAACCCTCCATGCATGAGCATCTCAGAGGATGTTCCAGTGAGGGTGTAATCTGCCGTCTCCGTTTGCATGATTAAACCACATGTACTGTAGCTGCCATGCCATGGCGTGCTGTCTTTGTGTGTCTGCACGCCTCAGAAGTCCTTCACTGACCTGCTCCGCTCCAATAAAAGCTCCACCATCCCCTCATGATTACCACTCATCACCACCACAGTGGGGGCTCTTCCTGGTCCACTTTGTTTCCTCCAATCCCATTGGAGGATCAGAGCCAGGTGTCTCCTGCTTTGCCTGTGTGGTTATCAAGTAGCCATCATATTGACAGGGCAAACATCAAACATTGTTTTTCTCGGCCTATTTACCTACAGGCGAAAAAAAAGGGCGGAAAATACACCAAAGTTTTATCAGTGAGTCAAGTCCATCCGTCTCTCTAAGTGGATCTGTCTGTAGTGGGTAAATGCAGTCAGTCCCTTCATCTCTATTCTGCAGGCTGCTGTGGTGGACGTGTTTGGTGAGCCTGCAGGGGGAGAGGCTGACTGGAATCTAAAACACAGTCTGAGGAGAGAGAGAGGGAGAGATAGAGAGAGAGAGAGAGAGAGAGAGAGAGAGAGAGAGAGAGAGAGAGAGAGAGAGAGAGAGACTGCTCACAGTTCATTTGTTACAGACATTTGTCAAACAGGATCTGTTTATTTCATCCCTGATAACTGTAGACTGAACAAACCATCACTGTAAACACCAGAGCAACAGAAATGTGAGTTAAACCCATAGACTGTATATACTATGGACAACTTGGTTCCGCCTACCGCCTGTACACGGATTTGAAGCCAAATAGCTCTCGGTATTTCAGGGATTTTTCTTCATTTCCTGAAACCAGTGCTGCACAGTAGCGATGCGCGCATTCGGGCGCGCAGTCGCAGAGAGTCACTTGTGTTGTTTCTTTCTATGGCACTTGCCATACCTTGACTTGTGTGGAACGGACGGAGTATGCTACTGGAACTTCTAGATTTTAATCCCCTGGTGTACCGGGACTTTTTTGCAGCGTCGCAAGACGACGTAACTCAGTCCTGTTCTAATTCTCTCGGACCGATTCGTGACGGTGATCTCTTCTGCTGATGCCTCTCTGCTGCTCCTCTCCGTCTGGCTCGTGCTCAGCGCACTGCATGCAAACATGCAAAGGGGTTTCCGAAGTGCGACCTCTAAAGATAAATGATTTTTGGGGCTGTTTCCGCAGGAAGTCGCATTTGTTTATGTTCGGGTTTCAGCAGAAAAGGTCCGACCTTCTGTACTGTATAAGGTAACCTCCCATTTGTCCAATGCTCCATTAGTCCGACAAAATTTCCCATCAGTCCGACATCAGTGTCCAACAGAGGCGATGCGTTGTAACAAATGCTGCATCCTCCTGCATTGTGGGAGCGCTGCTAACGTAAACAAACAA